TCAAAAAAAAAAAAAAAAAAAAAAAAAAAGAAAGGTCCTTGTCAGAGTAGCAAGCCCTTACATAAGCAGAACATATAGATTAGTTAAAAATTTTTTAATTAAAAAAAAAAGATTAGCAAGCCCATGCTGGTCACTGAGCAACTGTCCCAGCCTCCTTCCAGCTGGCTGCCTGGACCACAGAGGCTAAACCAGTTAAAAAAAAAAAAAAACAAAAAACATGAGTTCTCTTTTTTTTTTAACTGAGACAGATTTTTGCTCTCCACAACCTCCACCTCCCAGGTTCAAGCAATTCTCCTGCCTCAGCTTCCTGAGTAGCTGGGATTACAGGCATGTGCCACTGCGCCCCCGCTGATTTTGTATTTTTAGTAGGGACAGGGTTTCTCCATGTTGGTCAGGCTGGTCTCAAACTCCCAACCTCAGGTGATCTGTCCTCTCAGCTTCCCAAAGTGCTGGGATTGCAGGCGTGAGCCACTGTGCCCGGCTTCCTTCCAGAGTTTCAATCATGTGAGACTTACATTTGGAACCAAGCAGAGTTGGGGACAACAGGTAGCAGCCCTCAGGCACTCCTGCTGGTGTGGCTCCAGCAGGGATAGTGAGGTTGGGCCCACTGCACTGCGGAGCTTTCCAGATTCTGGGATGGCGGTTAGTGTCCCACTTGAGCAGCTGAGTATGCACTGCCTGTGATATGCCATTCCAAGAAGATGAGCAGGGGCCCTTCCCAGAAAAATTATATATTAACAATTCCAGCAGAGATGGCTTCTCATCCTTCAAGCTGCTAGACTCTGAGTCCCTGATCCAGAGCTCATCACCCTAGATCTGTCAGGCTCAACACAATTCACTTATCCAACCATTCAACCATCCATCATCCACTCAGCCAATCTTTTTTTTTTTTTGAGACTGAGTCTCACTCTGTTGCCCAGGCTGGAGTGCAGTGGCGCAATCTCAGCTCACTGCAACCTCCACCTCCTGGGTTCAAGTAATTCTGCCTCAGCCTCCAGAGTAGCTGGGATTATAGGTGTGTGTCACCATACTCGGCTGATTTTTGTATTTTTAGTAGAGATGGGGTTTCACCATGTTGGTCAGGCTGTTCTCAAACTCCTGACCTCAGGTGATCCGCCTTGGCCTCCCAAAGTGCTGAGATTAGAGGTGTGAGCCACCCCACTCAGCCCAATGACTTGTTGATTCACTTCTTCAACATTCCCTGAGTTCTTAGTCTGTAGCAGGCCCTGGACCTGGGGCCGAGAATAGGGAGTCCAATTAGATTAGGGCTGTGAAACAAGCCACTCTCAAACCTAGGGGTTTATGACACAATCATTTATTTTCTTACCATTTTGCAGTTTGGGCAAGGCCTTGTGGGAACAGCTCTTCTCATGCCTCCACCTCCACCCTTGGAGCTGGACGACCCTTCGAAGATGGTGCACTCTAACGGCGGCTGTCAAGTTGATGCTGACTAGAGATATTTATTTATTTATTTATTTATTTATACTCCCCCAGCCAATTGGCTAGAGATTTTTACTTACTATTTTTTTCATTTTTAAACTTTATCTCCCCTCGGGGGTATGCTGTTCCTGGAGGTACTGCAACGCTAGGTGGATGTGTGGAGTGGATGAGGCAAGCTCCATCTCTTAGTTCCAATCCATTTAATATTGTGTCCTCAAATAGAAGACATATCAGATATCAAACTGATAAGAACATATGCAGATACTATGCTTGATCTTACCCAAAAGACCGAGAATGGAGCTTTGATTCTCTTCCACATGGACCTCCCCACAGGACTGGTTGGGCTTCCTCACAGCATGGTAGCTGAATTCCAAGAGAAGAAAACAGAAGCTCCTAGTTCTGTCTTAAAGGGTAAGCCCAGAATTGGCACAGCATCATTTCCACCATATTCTACTGGTTCAAAGCCAGCCATAGGCCAAATCCAGAATTAAGGGGGTGGAGAAGTAAACCCCATCTTTTTATGAGGGAAGGGATAGGAATTTATGAGCATTTATAATCCACAAACCTAACTAGGAGTACAATTTTATGCTGCTTGGATTGAGGAGTTGACTGATTGGTTGGATAATTGACTGTTTGGGTTTGATTGACACAATCTAAGGATTCTTTCTCATTATAGCTTGTTTCCCCATGGTGGGCCTTTTCCGGGGTAACTGACACTGCAGAAAAGTGGCCTTGTCCCACTTTCTCTCACTCACTCCTCCCAAGAAATAGAGAAGAGACTTTTCTTGGTGAAGTTGTTAGGAGAAACTAGGTATGGGACCCAAAGTGAGGTCAGAGGCAGCTCTCAATTCTGGAGGTGGGGCTGGGACACCAGACCAAATTGAGGACTTGCTAAAACACGGATGTGGGTGGAGGCAGCTTTCCATAAGACACACCCACCTGTGTGCCATGTCAGTTTACCATTGCCATGGCAACACCTGGAAATTACTGTCCCTTTCCATGTTAATGACCTAATGACTCAGAAGTTATCGCCCTATTTCTAGAAATTTCTGCATAATCTGCTCCTTAATTTGCATACAAAAACAAGTGGGTATAAATATGACTGCAGAACTGCCTCTGAGCTGCTACTCAGGGTAGCCCCGGTCTGCAAGGACGTGCATCTGCTGCTGCTTTGCACTGCCACTTCAATAAAGTTGCTGTCTAGCCAGCACGGTGGCTCCCACCTGTAATCCCAGCACTTTGGGAGGCCGAGGTGGGTGGATTACGAGGTCAAGAGATTGAGACCATCCTGGCCAACATGGTGAAACCCCATCTCTACTAAAAATACAAAAATTAGCTAGGCATGGTGGCATGCACCTGCGGTCCCAGCTACTCAGGAGGTTGAGGTGGAAAAATCGCTTGAACCCAGGAGGTGGAGGTTGCAGTGAGCAGAGATCATGCCACTGCACTCCAGCCTGGCAACAGAGCAAGACTCCGTCTCAAAAAAAAAAAAAAATGTTGCTGTCTAACAGCACTGGCTCACCCTTGAATTCCTTCCTGGACAACACCAAGAACCCTCCCTATAACCCCCAATTTGGGGGCTTGCCTACCCTACATCAAAAGGAGGAGAAACCTTTGGGAGCAAAGTGGATAAGTCTGTCCAACTCAGAGAAGGGTACAGGGACTTCAAGTGGTATTTTCTCAACAACTCTATTGGTTACAAAAGAAATATTTTTATTTTTATCCTCTGTTCCTCAGATGGTATAAACTTGGGCAGGGAAGGACAGGGTATTTTGTTGTATGCCCTATAAAAATCTTGCTCTATGCCAGGTGCAGTGGCTCACACCTGTAATCCCAGCACTTTGGAAGGCCAAGGTGGGCTGATCATGAGGTCAGGAGTTCAAGACCACCCTGGCCAACATAGTGAAATCCCCATCTCTACCAAAAATACAAAAATTAGCCTGGCATGGTGGCGTGTGCCTGTAAGAGAATCGCTTGAACCCAGGAGGCTGAGGTTGCAGTGAGCCAAGATCATGCTGCTGCACTCCAGCATGGGCAACAGAGTGAGACTTTATCTCAAAAAAAAAAAAACCTTGCTCTAAATCTGTCACATGCTTGGTGCTCAATAAAAACATGTTGCTGGGCGCGGTGGCTCACACCTGTAATCCTAGCACTTTGGGAGGCCGAGGTGGGCGGATCACCGGAGGTCAGGAGTTCAAGACCAGCCTGGCCATCATGGTGAAACCCCATCTTAAAAATAAATAAATAATAAAAACATGTTAAATGTTAATTAAAAGAATGTCGACATCAGGTATGAGAGGTTTTCTTGCTCTAGGGAGATTTTTCAAGCAATCACTATGTCAACAGACATAATGTTTCCCTTTCTTCATATGTTGAAGATCAGGGATCCAAGCTTACTTGAAAAGCTAAAGAGGCACCATTTGTCCCCATTGGAACGGCAGGTTTTGCAGCAATTGTTGCATATGGATTATACAGACAGAAGAGCACGATAATGTCCCTTCCTCTGATCCACATGTGTGTGGCAGCCCAAGGCTTTGTTGCAGGAGCAGTGACCATTGGTATGGGCTATTCCATGTGTTGGGAATTCTGGGCAAAACCTAAGCCTTAGAAGAGGAGATGCTGTCTTGGTCTTGTTGGAGGAGCTCACTTCAGTTAAACATCTCACTATTGAAGTTACTATTCTTGTGGAAAATAAACTATTTGAGTGGGCTTAGATGGTAACACAGCATTTTGAATATTGGCTTCCTTTCCTGCAGGCTTGATTTGCCCAGTGACTAAATTACTGGTGACTAGTTTATTAGCTAGGTCATTCAAGGAAATCAAGTTAGCGTAAAAGAAACATGTCACCTAAATAAATGAACTTGATGGTGTTGAAATGTCCACCTTCTTAAACTGTTAAGATGGCCAGGCGCGGTGGCTCACGCCTGTAATTCCAGCACTTTGGGAGGCCGAGGTGGGTGGATCACAAGGTCAAGAGGTCGAGACCATCCTGGTCAACATGGTGAAACCCCGTCTCTACTAAAAATACAAAAAATTAGCTGGGCATAGTGGCAAGTGCCTGTAATCCTAGCTACTCAGGAGGCCAAGGCAGGAGAATTGCCTGAACCCAGGAGGCGGAGGCTGCGGTGAGCCGAGATCGCGCCATTGCACTCCAGCCTGGGTAAAAAGAGTGAAACTCCGTCTCCAAAAAAAAAAAAAAAAAAAAAAAAGAGATCGAGACCATCCTGGCCAACATGATGAAACCCTGTCTCTACTAAAAATACAAAAATTAGCTGGACATGGTAGTGCACACCTGTAGTCCCAGCTACTTAGGAGGCTGAGGCAGGAGAATTGCTTGAACCCGGGAAGTGGAGGTTGCAGTAAGCCCAGATCGTGCCACTGCACTTCAGTCTGGCAACAGAGTAAGACTCTGTCCCACAAAAAAAAAATTTTTACTTTTATCTTTTTTTTTTTTTGAGACGGAGTTTCACTCATGTTACCCAGGCTGGGGTGCAATGGCGCGATCTCGGCTCACCGCAACCTCCGCCTCCTGGGTTCAGGCAATTCTCCTGCCTCAGCCTCCTGAGTAGCTGGGATTACAGGCACGCACCACCATGCCCAGCTAATGTTTTTGTATTTTTAGTAGAGATGGGGTTTCACCATGTTGACCAGGATGGTCTCGATCTCTTGACCTCGTGATCCACCGCCTCGGCCTCCCACAGTGCTGGGATTACAGGCTTGAGCCACCGCGCCCGGCCATCTTTTTTTTTTTTTTTTTTTTTATACCTTGTTACTTATTCTTGTGAACACTGTCACAAAAAAACCCTCCTATTTGCCCTAGTTAATTTAACTTTTTTCTGCCTGTCTTGTGGATGGGCTGGCTCTTTTAGAACTCTGTCCAAAAAGTGCATGGAATATAAGTTGTAAAGCTTCCCACAACTGAAAATATATATATGTGTGTGTTTAAACCAAATCTAGAAAGCCTACAATAGAGTTACATAGCAGTGGTATTTATTAAAGAATCACAATTGCAAACATAAGAATAATTTAGGCCGGGCGCGGTGGCTCAAGCCTGTAATCCCAGCACTTTGGGAGGCCGAGGCGGGTGGATCACGAGGTCAAGAGATCAAGACCATCCTGGTCAACATGGTGAAACCCCGTCTCTACTAAAAATACAAAACATTAACTGGGCATGGTGGCGCGTGCCTGTAATCCCAGCTACTCAGGAAGCTGAGGCAGGAGAATTGCCTGAACCCAGGAGGAGGAGGTTGCGGTGAGCCGAGATCGCGCCATTGCACTCCAGCCTGGGTAAGGAGAGCGAAACTCCGTCTCAAAAAATAAATAAAAATAAAAGCGTTTGGAGCCCAGAGCTCCGGGCCAGCGCAGTTCCCACGCTTGGCGTTGGTCCCCGGGACCCATGCTGTAAATTCTACTCTTGTGTCTCCGTCTTTATTTCCTTTTCTCAATCCTTCATCACCTCCGGGACTAAGGGCACCCACGAACGGGGTTGGGCTGGTTTGCAACACCCCTGCAGCTCCTATCTCGCTGAATTAAGGAGTGGATATTTCCTTTTTTTTTTTCTTTTTATGACCCCTCCCATCAGGAGTGGATATTTCCTATTCAAGGGGCACCAAAGAGTGTCTCCATTTCAACCCCCACTCAAGCAAGTAACAAAGTCAATGTGCCAGAGCCTGGACAGGTAATGGCAGAGGGACCTGGGTCATGGGGGTCTGGAGAGCCCTGACCCCATCCAAATGGTTCTAACTCAGGGAGATGAGCCTTGTGGGGCCAGGTAGCCAGGTCTCATGGAGAAGCCAGAAATCCTTACTTCTCATGTGTCAGATAGGAAATCTTACACATGTTAAGATTGGAAACTAATTTATAAAAATTGCAAATATCATGCAGCTCAAACACATCTCCACAATGAGCCACATGTGCCCATAGGCAGGCAATTTCCATCCCATTTGAAGGCTGTTTGTCTTCCAGAATGCCAATGGTGGGTCTTCATGAAGCTTCAGAGTTATCCTGCCACATGGCTCCCAGTGACATGAAATTGTTGCTGCCTTTGTATTTATTTATTTTTATTTTTTTAGAGATAGGGTCTCAGTCTGTCACCCAGGCTGGAGTGCAGTGACATGATCACAGCTCTTCCCAGCCTCAATCTCCTGGGCTCAAGTGATCCTCCCACCTCAGCCTCCCAAGTAGCTGGAACTACAGTCAAGTGCAGTTTTTTTTCTTTTTTTTTTTTTTTTTTGTATATATGGAGGTCTCGCTATGTTGCCCAGGCTGGTCTCAAACTCCTGGACTCCAACAGTCCTCCT